AGTTTAGTCGCATACGTGATTTAATTTCGATACAATCACTAAGTCTAGAATAAGAACTTAGTCATCCCATGTTTTTTAAGGCGAGTTAAGGACGGATAGTTGAGATTTTTCTAGAGTGAGCTGAGTAGGCCTCACGATACCACTGAATTTCCCTTAACCTTGCCTCTCAAAACGGTATCTCATCCAGAATGGGCTACAGCTTTGACCTCACCTAGGTCTTGTAAGCATTTCAAGAGGGATTCGGTACCGGCTCGATAGCATCGTGGCAAAGTTTACCACTAGACAACATGGCTACATGTTCTAGTGCGCCACAGGGAAGATGCGACATTCAAGACAAGACTGACCCCTCGCTACTCACATGTCATAATGAAATTGTTTATTAAGTAAGTACATGTTTGTCTCTATTCCTCAAGCCACCTTAAACGGCCTAGGATGACTAAGTTCTTGGTTATGGTGATGTATAAAAGAATTAGTAATAAATTATAAACCTACTCTCAAGGAATATGAGTAGCGTCGCTCTTCGCTATTGCAAAATATGAGATGGATCAAATGCTTATCTGTGGATACCAGTTTTCAAGAGGTATCTGAAGCATTTCATCAGGGGAAGATCCAACATGGTATACGCGAATAAAGTTGGGTTTCGAGGAAGCTCTTGTTTCATAATTGTTGAGCTTAGTTGCATTTCATCTGAAAGTGTTTAGTGAAGAGATTCGAAGGTTGCTGCTACAAAAAGATGACGACGGATTCCCCTTGACCAGCTGCCGAGTGGCTTTACTGGAACATTATTGTTGACGCTGTTTCCGAAGTAATCTCCTTCATCGGAATCGAAGGAGATTACCTCGGAAACAGCGTCAACAAGAATGTTCCAGTAAAACCAATCGACAGCTGGTCAAGGGGAATCCGTCGTCATCTTTTTGTGGTAGCAACCTTCGAATCTCTTCACCAAACACTTTAACTCAAAATGCAAGTGAGCTCAACAAATAGCTCACAAACAGAAGGCGCAGCAACTATTAAGCATGTCTTTGCTGAAAGCGCGCAAAAATGAGTCTCGATCGGGCTCAGAGGAACTGGAAAGTAGTCTCGTGTAAGGTACTGTCAACTTAGAAAAATATCCGTTGACCTACTGGACTGAAGCACCTACAAGTGCTCCAAAGCACATCAAGGAGTAGCTTCCGTCATTTTGGACAAGGTGAATATGAGAATTCCATTGCCCAGGTTGATGTGTAGAGTAAAGGAAGTTTAAGGATTAGATGATGGCCTCTATAGAAGATTCCAACAACAAAGTATAATCAAATATGGAGGCTGCGTTGAAAATATTCTGTTCTTTAGCTCCGTGAAATATCTCATGAGAAAGTGCAGATCATCTAGAAATGTTAGCAAATGTGAGGTCAGTGACTCCAGGAAGGCTGAAAAGAAGAGTGATCGTTCGCATCGAGTTCCACCCGAATGCAGCCGAATGATCGAGTAACTGCAGCATAGCAGACACACATACAGCAATACCGAGGCAAGACAGTCAGGAGACTAATTGTTAGATCAAGTAATACTCTGCCAGATAGGGCAGAACAGACGACCGGAAATGGCGGACAATCCAGTTGGCCGAGGATGTGAAGAGTGGAGGAAAAGCCGCAAGTGGTACCGATAACAGGCAAGCATGAATAAAATGGATACATTTTCGTTTCGGCCTGACACGTCTCCGCCTCCAGCAAACTATTTGCCATGTTTATCTACTCGAGGAGCCGTTAATAAATGGAAAATAAGTGGGTAGATTTGATCAACCCACATTCTCGGTCAGTCTGGCTTAGCTCGAAAAGGAGACCGATGCAAGCGGGCAATTCGAGGGGTCGTCTGCAAGAAGGGGAGTCCCGCCAGAATGCAAGGCGGAGAACCGAATGCCGACTGGTGTAGTCAGTTAAGCACACTTTGACCCAACTCAAGGAATGCCAGTCTGGAAGGAACCGGTGCAGCGAGCGATGGAGTCACCCGTCATGTGGAGATCATTTTGAGTAAGTGTGGTATATGTACAATGTCGGGACACGGTTGCTCAAGAAGACGGGGAGCAGCGGAATGTGGAGGACAGAATGTTGCCCGCTGATCGGCCAATCAAGCGGCAAGCTTTCGAAACCGGTTCCAAGCGTAACAAGCCATTGCAAACTGGGCGGAAGACTATCGTTCCTGTCATCGCCAAAGTGGAAGCTTAATTGTTAAGTCACCCTGCTCTGGTTGCCTGCCAACCCCAAGGTCAAGGGATGGGCTGCGAAGGCACGGAACTCTGCTGTCAGCCTGAAATTACGCCAATTGGTATGTACACCAGCTGGGACTCACGCCTCGGAGTCTATCGAGTAGACGAAATGCAGAGAATGCAGGCAATTTGCGTTCGCCAACCTGGTTGACAGGACGTGGCGCCAGAACTGCTAAGAGTAGGAGAAAATCTCAAGTCAGTAAACAGGGTACCAAGAGCCCTAAAAATTTCTGGAATATGAGCCAAGTGGAGAAGGGATGGATCATCCAAGCGACAAGTAAAAGATGGAAGGAGAGTCTGTACATACAGTAAAGAAAAGACAAAATAAGGGGAGTACGCTGAGTTACACCTTTTGGTTGTCTGAGAGAAGCTATGAGCTAGATGTCTGCGGAAAGTGATAGGAATTAAAACGGGTTGGCATATCCTGAAGTTGTGGCGTCGTCTGAGAATTCAGAAAGCATCTGATTGAGTGTCATCACCACCAGACCGGATGACTTGATCGGGGTTTGAGGACGTGTACGATAAGTTGAGGGCATCCCGACGGGCAAGAAACTCCTCGTGCTCAAATGGTTTAATCAGATCCAGTAGGAGACGGGAATAAATAAAAGCAGGCGCGAAGTCAATTTTATGTGTGTAAATGTCTTGGTGAATTTGGGCTTGTTTGTACCGTGTGGTCCGAAACCAACGCAACAGTGCAGCAAATGGACGCTGGAGGAAGGAAATTATGAGAGATCCTTAGGTCTAAACAAGCGAGTAACGCCCGGCTTCCATGTTCAACGGAGGATAGAAAAGTGTAGAGACCCGGATCTATCAAGAAAGACGAAAGAAACGGCGCTTTGTTCTTCAAAGACAATTTCTCAAATGTAAAGGCTTAAAAGTCGACCCTTCAGAACACGAAGAGAAGCGAGTTTCCAGCTTCTCTTTCTCCTTAGCGATTATCTCTTCCAGTTGGGCGACAATTTGGCCCGGATGGGGACGCGAATGTTTGTGTGCGTCCCAGCAACGACACATCAGGGCCCAGCAGTCTTCGGAGAAGCAAGTCAGCCGTTCAGGCCTGATGCCTAGGGCAGGAAATAAGAAGGAGAGAGTGGGGGGCGATGGGTAAATGCTTGCATGCTGTAATAATAAAAAAGAGAAAGTAAGTTTCTTTCTACAAATTGCCACCAGTACTGAACCAAAAACTCTGGGGCCAGATGTAGTGCTGACATGCAATTCGTGTGAGCGCATAATTAAGATTTTCTAAGTTTAATTTCACTATAATATGAAGGCTGATTCCAGTTGTTCCGAACTTGTTATTGATGCTACTGTACTATTCAGACAGACTCAAAGATACATTTGGCTCAACTAAAAACTAGCTAAGCTTTCGTCCATCATATCGGAGATATCAACAGAGATGGATTTAAATATTACAAAAGTCTAATTTAAGCATCCAATCAAGGAAACTAGCCGGCCTCACTAGTCATCCCTATTGTGCACTGACAACCAAAAAAGACATAAAATATAGATAGATGTAAAATAAATAAATAAATATAGATAAATAGATAGATAGAGAGAGAGTGTGTGGGGCAAATTACAATTAATACGAATAGTAATAAATTATATTTGGACCTATTTATAAATTTACACCAAGCCGCATGTAATAAGAACCAAAATTCAGTTCAAGTTTACAGGTCCATTGAGCAGATCCAGTTTTATATGTTCGGTAAAACATAATAAAAAGTAAATAACATCTTAGGAAATATGGCCAAAGTCTAATCTCACATAACTGATTTACTGGTAGTCTCGAAACTCTACCTATACACACAAAAAATAATGTAGTCGATTCTTATAACAAAAAATACGTTTGCTTCATTGACAATGAATGTGATATGGAAAAAGGCCTGGCCTTCCTTGAAATTCACATCGGCCCTGTGACACAAGGGTACTCGTGGCAACGTGGTCGAGTGGTTAACGTGTCAAGCTCACATGCTGCACTGTCACGGCTCGACTCCCACTGGGGGTATTGATAAGATCAATGCGAATTCGAAACTGCAGTCCAGTCTTTATGAGAACAATATGACCGATATATGACCAATATGACCGAGTTGCGAAAACAAGGTCAAACAACTTATATACAACAAAAGGAGACTGCGACTACACAAAAGTCCACACCATCTTGGTCTTCATACCTTCGTTTATGAGAACAACTTTTGGGAAAGCAAGGCTTTGTGAAATTCAATGGAAACATCAGCTTTACTCAATTCATTGTGGGAAAATTCTATTACCAGTCCTCCATCACCTTAGACGAAATAGGGTGAATACATCTCATAGACTGCCAAAGTGTTTATTGGAATGGTGATTTCATTATAACGAAAGGTTGATGTAATAAAATGGCACAAACGAGGTGACTGCAAAACTAAAATTGGCAGAGATTTTGGAATGTATGAAGCAACAGTACAGAGTATTTTTAAACCCGCAGATGAAATAAGTGAAAAGAATAAAACGGCATCAACTTGCTAAGGTTTGCAAACCACCTCTATGAATAGAAGTTTCACAACGATAGAGATAAAACCGTTTTTAGCAGTGTGAGTAGAAGACTTTAATCAGAAAGGTATTCCCCTTAACATAGCAGCAATTCATACCGAAGCTTGAAAGATTTTTCCTGGAAAAAGGACACAATTTTTCAATTCAGCATCACATGAGCCTTCTAGGAAACATCCTGGTGGGGGTCATCAATATCTCCAACAAGTTCCCTGAGGAGGCAAAACAGGAAATTGAGCTGGAACTAATTCCAAAGATCATGACACACTAAAAGCCAACACACAAGAGCAGATTTGCCAGGATACGCTAGACCCTGGAAATG